TTTGACAACAGTTTTGCTCTTCACGCTATTGCGCGCGTTGACCAAATGGGTTCAATGATATAGGAAAACATGCCGAACGTTATGTCATACAGCTGACGTATTGAATAGTCAAATGCGAAAAACTGTGTCAATTCGACCGTTCCCTGGTTTGCTCAGTTTCACTGAGCACTGGTTCCACTCGGGTTCTACCAAATTTTTCGCGAATGCGAGGCCAAACGACAGTTTATATCATAAGCTGATTCCACTTCATTATATCACCAGATTAGTCCCCCGTCAACCGCCGGGACCTTCCTTTCCTGCGCAAGCTTTCTATCCTCCGCTATGGTCCCTTCCTCCTGTGACACCAACACCTCGTGGAAGTGACGCGTATGCAACACAATGGTGTTTCATACAGTAGAAGGGACACAATCATGATATGACGGTAGATTTTTCGCTTCCCTTCCTCATCCTCCCTTCCTCTCTCCACTGCCCTCCAGCTGCCACTGCAGCACCATGTGGAATGAACGGAAGTGTGCTAAGCAGGTGTTTATATAGCCCTAAGAGTGTTATCACAACTATCCTGCTACAAAACATTGATATCTCAAATCCTGTAAGCTACCCGATTTGTTAGCGGTTTGTTTATCCCATGAGCTTCCTTCTCACTCACTTCATTTTGCGGACGGACACACATACATACATACATACACACACATACAGACATACAAACCGACACACAAAGTTAGCGCTTTATAAAATAGAAGGATAATACGAGTTGGAAGAAAGAGAATCATACGTATTTGCTCGTTGAGCATGTTGTAGTTAAGGCTTTGAAAAGTGGAAGTGGTCGTATCATAGCAAAGCTGGAAGAATCTCTAAGTAAAGCAGGACGCGCCTCACATAACAGTCATCCAAACGTTGTAGCACAATATGACTATTCTGACTGCGAGTACAGTAAGCACATTTCCCTTATATCACAATCTTGCCAGGATAGTATATCGTGGGCAATGTATATAAAGGCAGGTCGGGAGCTCAGAGACTCACAATTCTCGCCGTGGCTGGAAGGCGTACGGTACGCAAAGTGGCAAGGTCGCGCCACCTTCCTTCAAAACGCGTCACTAAGAGACAAGGCACCAAGGATTTCTAATATACCCCTATCAAACCTAAAATGGTCCGTTTTTTGCACCAAGTTGATCCGTTATGCTCTCCCTACTTCAACTTCTCTAGCACTCTCCGGGCTCACATTATTTCTCATTCCCTGCCGTCCTTTTGAACACCGTAGAACGAGAAGGCTCGTATTCCCTGCAATTCACGATTCTTTCCTTTTTCCTAGACATATAGTCTACCCTCATCCCGCTTTCATGTTTGAGTGAAGTCATCCCCATCAATTTAATCCTGATTCTTGCCTCCACGAATGAAACACTGAAGATGCTTGAGCTTTTCATTTTGTAGCACATCCATCACTTACCAAACAACGCTCCAGATAATGTATGGGATGTCAGGCACCAAACATATTGGGATAATTAAAGCACCTTCGTATGGTAAGTCCGATCCTGCAGTGCTATATGTAAATACATTATATTGAAAAAAGGAAGCCAAGTAAATCATTAGTCTGACATTAGAATACTACGGCCTTCCCATAGAAATTCCGATAACCTGGATAGTTATTAAGCGCCTAGAATCGTCTAAAACAAATCCTTCAGGATCATGTGATAACCTGTTACAGTGTATTCTGGTTCCATTGTGTACCAGGATATTCTGGTTGGACACATATTCGCTCTGCTACCAACTCCCTTTCACAAGGCTTCAAGGAATCTTCCACGGAAAAAGCTCCGCCTTCATTACCACAGAACAGGAACGATACCTTAAGGAAATCTTCCACGGAAAGAGTGATCATTTTGTCTTGTGTGTAGGATTAGTATTATCGAAACTAACGCTTATGTTCCGTTCTTTTTGCTATGCTCATGAGGCTAGGGGCCTAAGGTATCGTTTTTCTGTGGTAATGGAGGCGGAGCTTTTTCCGTGGAAGATTCCTTTAAGTGAATTCTAGACCTTGTAGGCCCTCTGCTGGACTGACAATGAGCGTCGGAGTAAAAAAAACCCAACGCAACCATCCCCAAAATCGACCAACGATTCTAACTCTTAGCAGGAAATTTTTTTCAAAGATGAAATCTACTGAAGACCAATAGTTTACTTCTTTCGATTGAAGTTCTTGAAAGGAGCCAAATCATGATGCGAAACTTCCCTGTGTTTCAGTGCCGGTGTATGATCCTGAAATTATTCGTATTTTGCTGGAAAATACTGTGATGAGTGCTTACATGTAGAGTTTCGGCCGTATCCTGAATATAAAGAGAGAGACGATATGGCATTTAAGGTGAGAAAAGAACTTGAACTATCGGATGAAAGCAACACCAAGGGAGAAATGAAAACGTGAACAGAAAGACAGACAAGCACTCATGCATTGCAAGCAAAAGCCAATCATACTCCAGTCGGCCATATTTATGCAAAAATAGGCCCAATATTCGAAATAGTTCCTTGCTACAGATAATGCCTTCTACATTTTTTACTCAAGAATGAAGGGATTCTTACACCAAACCTTTACAAGAAAGGTCGTTAGATAGTTGTGAATGCTTTATACGAAACACGCAATTTGAAACGTCAACTCGAAATGCAAAAATTTGTCACCACGAGGAATCGAACTAGGGACCCCTTTTTCTGGTATTCAGAGGGCCGTTCAGGAAAAATGAACCATGGTTCTGTGGTCCCCATATGTGCCCCTATGTCATGCAAAACCGTTTTGAAAAAGCTTGGCACACCCTGAACGACCTCCCTTGTTAGTCCGTTAACACGTTTTGAAGAAGATTCGATGACAGAGCACAGTTTATTAGAATGGTACCTTTCTCTTGTGGCAAGGCCTTCGTTTCTATCGAAACGCAGCTTGAAGCTCTTCTTAATTCCACATCATGTAAAATCCCTGAAGAAATTCTTGAGCTCGGTGCGAATTCGATGCGAATCTCGCGCGATTTCTGAGTCCAACAGTTTTCTTGACTAGCTGACCTTTTTCAAAGTCCGACATCAGTTTTTATTACACTGTCCCCTTAAGCGAGGGATTACCATAACGTGAATGTACAGCATGGAAGCACATGCACTAGTGGAAGCAGTATTCAATGACCAAAGTAAGCGAAATGTAGCCTTTTCGCCCTAACAAGGGAGGTCTTTCAGGGCAAGGTGCGCTTTTTCAAAACGGTTTTGTGCATATTGTAGGGACGCATGTAGGGAACGCAAAACCATGTTTCATTTTCGCTGAACGGTTTAGCAGTACCAAAAAAGAAGCATAAGGTACTGTTAAGGGTTCGATCCCCCGTGGCGACTAAATTTTGCATTTGGGTTGGCGCCTACGGTTTGGTGCCAAATCGCGCTAAATATCAAAATCAGATGTCAATTCATCGTCAGGACCATTTTGAAGCCAACAAGTGGCCGCCAACCTTGATTGCAAAATTTAGTCGCCGCGGGGGATTGAACCATCAAGAGTATTATTCACCACTTTTTTGGTACTACTAAAACCGTTCAGCGAAAACGAAACATGGTTTTGTGGTCCATGCGTCCCTACAATATGTACTAAACCGTTTCCAAAAAGCGCACCTTGCCCTGAAAGACCTCCCTTGTAAGATGCGCTAATGGCATTGCACGCACGAGGCTGCATCTCAAAAGCCCACAAATTCGGTATTTTGTCGAGCAAATACGGTGAATATGCTGCATTTTTAGTTTCACAAAATTTTTGCGTTGTTTCTCCTAGATAAGGGGTTCGCGATAAGATCGGAAGATCAAAGAAGGGGGAGGGGGGGGGGGAATTGTTATAATGTGAATGAATGTTATAATGTGAATATTTGGGAGACAGGCGGACCTCTTGAGAGTGCTAACTAATGCGTAAATGACAGCGAACGATCTGACCCCGGAGATCTTGCATGGCTCACTCTTGGCGCGATTGGAGGAGAACGCCCACCCACTATCGAGTGATTAGATAGCATAGAGAGAGCGTTAGTATTGAAGTCGTATCAATGCGGAAATCAACGAACAAGGAAAGGGGTTTCATTTCTTGCGTTTCTGACCGTATCATATGGTTTCTTCTTCATCGCAGCTCTCCTGACCCCCTCTACCCTTACTTCCGATGAGCTAATCTTTCGTCGTATGCCTTTAAATCGCTTCTTAACACCTTGACGACAGCGCGGCAACTAGGTTTGCCGCGTTTTGCACGCCGCAATGGACATTGTGGCAACTATAGTTGCCACACCCTTTACATTCAGTTTTTTCTTGAACGCGCCATTTCTTCCCAGGTTTTTTGTGTTCATTTTTTAGGCCATACCACAACATAACCAAGAACCACGCGGCTTATAGAATGACCAAATATTCTTTAGTTTGGCAGAGGTTTTTCGGACCGGACGAAAATATCCGTTCAGTTCATTCCTCATTTTCTCTTCATTAACACGAACATGTAGATAAAAAAGAATATTAGAAGTGAGTACAAAGCTACTCGTGTGGCAAGATATGTGTTTTTACCGAAACAACCACGTCCAAAATAATTTTGAAATCACTAAAGCAAAAGTAAGTGAAACTTGCCTTTTCAATGCTGTAACACATCATTCGACCGCACTTTCACATGTGTACCTTCCAATAAGTTTGACACACCGAATATCAGTGAAAACATTTTGTCGCATCGAAGTATTGCGTATTTAAAGCTCAAAATCCACAGATTTGTTGTGAGGCGGCGGCGCTCGCAGAACCGCTCTGGTCCCACGCGGCCAAAAATGCCAAAACGCGCGATGTCGTCAACGTGTTAATAGCGCCGATCGTTCTCGTAATAACTTTAAGTACGCCCCCCAATTGTTATAACGGATGTAGTTGGAGACGGCATTCATGGGTTGTCGATAAACGATCATATTAGATATACATGTTTTGATTCGTTTGATGACCGAAATACTTCAAAACAGCTTTCATTAGAGAAGGTGTTCTATTCTGACGATTATATGTGTTGCCAATCCGAAGAAGGACTTTGCGTGCACAAAAGCGAGGACTGTTTGATGGTGAAATTCGGGCCAATCTCATACAATGGTGCGTTCCAGTTATGTTTCCATCAGTATTATGAAGAGCGATAGAAAAGCAATAGAGAGAAAAGGAAGTGGCGATTCGTCATAAAGGGGGTGAAGAAGTAGAAGGTTGAGAGAAAGGTTGGTGACCAAAGGCAAGCTGAATTTGAGGCCATTACCATTAGTATAGAATGATGCGGGAGAAGTCCTCTGCTATTGATAAATAAAGCTATATCCGTGCGTAATTTTGTGGTCGTGGGTATTTATAGTGTGTCACTAAAATCATATTATGCGTGGGATGGATTTCCCCAAGTAATGTAAATGTTCGGACAAGGCCACAAGTGGTGTGTGAGGGAAAGTGATTACAACTGAGACAGGTCCCCATCCTCGGCAGAATCCCCCCCGGTTGGGACATATCTCTAATTAAACGGACCAATTTGGGGGAAGAGAGGGGTTGCTGTCCCCGAGAGGTGGGTCGAGACTCAGGTCATTCGCCTCCGACGGCTGGAGGCGCGACGAATCGATGGCCATGCTTCAGTGTTTCTCAGGCCAAAGTTGCAGTGTGTGATCGATGTGATCGTAAAAAAATACCTTCAAAGCAGGTAGTACAACGTTGAAGAAGGGGAAGATAGAACCGTAAAAAGGCTAGGCCACAAGAGGGTGAAATTTGTGAAAAAGCTTGTTCCTCTAGCGTACCCGCGGTGACCACCACCACGCTAAGCTCGAAGATTTCAACTGTGCCTTTCTTAAAAATGCAGCGCTCGAAAATTAGAATCCCACGAAATAAAATTTGATAATAAGCTGACGTTGGACACGAAGCCTTGAATGAAACTTGAGGCCGATTTTTCAACAACATCTCATAAACAGACTTCCTTGGTATACCTTCGAAGTCGCCCGACTGATGTGGTGATAACTCCGTCGTAATCAGTGGCGTCCGATTGTCGAACCTGGCGCATAATAAGTAATAGTTTGGCATCGCACACTCTTGGCACGCATAGCGCGATAGGCTTCAGCGAATCTGGGCAACATACGCAACGTCAGCAAGCACATTTCATGGGGTACCCCCCAGGAGGCCCGTCGCGCGGCAAGAAGGCAAAGTCAGCGGACGAGTCGCGCGCACTATAGGGATTTCGCGTCAAGTTAAATAGAGTGTCCCATTGCACGTCCTACATCGCACATCACGCGCTGCAACTCGTCCGCGACTCTGCCTTCTTGCCGCGCGACGGGCCTCCTGGGGGGTACCCCATTTCATGAAACAATTTGCTACTGTATACGTTAGTCATGGTGCGTTATCAAATGTCCACATTTTTCCTGTGTTCACTAAATCCTACCGCATATAGCATGTGGTGCCAAAATAATGCTATAAGCGATGGGGAGGGGGCGGACTGATCAGTGTTTGTTTGGATACGCCATGCATTCGATATTCATCCAGAATCGTAATAAACTTGCGGGGGCTACAGCCAGTGAAAAAGCAAGTGCCTCTATCTTATCAAAGGGGTCACCATCAGTCAACCACGAATAGAAGGCAGACTTAAATGGACTGCGCGAGAATTTAGCCAAGAATGATACCCGGATTTTTTTGTGACAACCTATCTCTTTCACGCAGAACATCAATATCAGCAGATGTTGACCGAGAACTGAAGCTTTTAAAGGACCTAAATTCGAAAATTTCAGTTTGAGTAGCCTTAACTCTTCATAGATCTGCCGTCACAAACTATTACATTTAGTAGCGTATCGCCTTGCAATCAACTATGTTTTACCACATGAAGGAAAGGAAGGAAAGGAGCAAAAATCGGGAGTCTTCAAACTATTTCCCAGACCGAATCCTCCATCTGATTTGACCTTACACTTGGTAAGTAGCCTTTAATATAGAATTCTTCATGATTTTTTTTACCGATTCTAAATTTTGTATGACACCAAGAACCACCAAAAATTTATTTCAGAAGAGTGTTTATAATTTTTATTTTGTCTCGAAATTGCAGTTTGGTCGTCTTTGTGCTATAAGTAGAGCATTTAGAGGTTTTGATGAGCGCTCCGGGACATGCACAAACAACGTTCATAAATTGCTTCCTTATCCTTGAGGCGTTCAGAATCGCATTTCACGAGCGTCACAAAAGTGATCATATAGCTCTGCATGCGCCAAATCAACAGTTTCAAGATGCTTTATCGCAACACGTTTGCACACAAAACAAAGAGCGCAAATGAATTAGTGAACTTAAAGGCACACGACGCGACAAGCTGAGTGAGAAGTCCATCCCTGTAAAAGAGTAGATTTGTTTGTAAACGCAAAAATTGTGCTTCTTCCAAAAGTTGAGGCGTAATAAATGGCGTTTGGAGCATATGCTTAATGATGAATACGCCCAAAAGGTGGGAATCCCTCAAAATGGATGCAACTAGTGCATACACTGTTGCCTGCATTTTGTTCTTTCCATGGCTTAACCACTTTCTCATTGCTGCGTCCCGCTTGCTGCGCCATTGGTCGCCCACTCCGTCAACCCGTCAATAAGCAGATTTCAAAGAAAATAATGGAAAAAGGTTTCCACGTTCGTATCGCAGTGCACCTAATGTATTCGGCACATACAGAGCGGCAAAAATTTTGCCGAAAGGGTTGTTCGTGCTTATCTTTTTTTGCCAGAAAAAAAATGAGTGGTGGCCTAGAAAATTTTTCATTTCGAATAGCCTGATTCTTCAAGGCTCGATTACATAAAAACACTAGAAACATAGTATATCGAATCTTTGGAGCGTGCTTGCTCTAACGAGAAAAAAAATAATGCAATAAAACGTCGTTCGACCGACACTTTTGACGCGCTGCGTGTTATGATGACTTGTGGCACAATAGCCGCGGAAACAGTAAATGTTTCGATCCTCTTCGAAACATATATTAACTGGACGGACCGCAAACCAGAGGAATGAAGGCTGCCGCCTGGCTTCAATGCAGATCTCAGATTTATCTGTTACGTGTAAGCAGCGCTCATGTCTGCCACAGAGAATAATGAGCCGCATTCCGGATGGGAGTCGTCTATGTTCAAGCTGTATAGGTTGACGCATAACTCATACAACACACAGCGGGTATTATTCTGAATTAAAGAAGAAAAGAAGCGATCAAAAAAACCAGCTATCAAAAAAATATACAAAGATCTTGTGTAAAACTCGGCTATGAAGCTCGACAGTGCATCGTAAGGAGGGAATTCCATGATAACTGGCCCCTACAAAAACGTTTGCACACTGTTGCACTACTTTTGGAAAATTTACGTCGTCTATTTCATGAGCTGACCGCTAGTCTCCGGTTCAATATTTTTTACCAGATTGGTCCCCCGTCAACCGCCGCCGGGACGTTGCTTCCCCTGCGTAAGCTTCACGGGTTTCGCTGTGGTTCCACTTGTGTATAATAGAATGAGACTGAGTGTGCTCGATCGGTGTTTATATAGCCGTTGTGGGTGTTATCAGAATCACAACATCACGTTAGAGTAATACGTCAACACGGATATAGCCCTTCCTTGAAAGCGGTTGTTCTCCCACCCTGCATCCTCTCCCACCCCCCCCCCCTTCTACACTCTCCTCTTGCCCCTCCGGCTGCCACGATAGCACCATGTCTTCCCTCCGTTTCTCCTCTCCCCCTTCCCTCCCTTTTCTCTTTGAACGGACAGAACGACACACGCACAGACACACACGCACACACCGACAAACCGACACACCAAAGTTGTGGTTTATATAATGAAGTGATTTCGAAAATCTTCGTATAATTGCTGTTATCGATAATTTTCGACGATCTTCTGTTGCAGGACAAGGAAAAGGCTATCGGTGTTTCGTGGGTCAACCGCTATCCCTATGCTGCGGCTTTCCTTGTAAGTAGTTTAAATGCTCGACCGAAATTTATCTCCCCTCAAATTTACCTGCTCCGAAAAATCCAGAATCTTGAGCAGTGCATTGTTTTCAGTGCCGTTTCTTTTACCAAAGGTTCTTTTCTTGATGGCTTCAGGGAGGTTCCGGTCAGGTGGTCATCTTGAAGGGCCCAGGTCACTACTGCAAGAAGGGACCTCGTTTTTTGTCACTTGTTTGAAGTGATTTTGGACTTTCCCGCTAGCTGACGCAGTTTACCTTGACCCTTTTCCTTCAGTTACTTGGATAATGTTATGCACCTTTGGATATTTAACAGTAAATTAGAACAAAAAAATACAAAAAAAGTAGTTGGTCGATAGCGCTGTTTTGTTAGAAACTCATGAAATATTAGGGGCATTTTATCATTTCCGTGAGAGTGGAAATGGTGGTAAAAAAAGAAAAATGACAAAACAACATTCGTGAAGTGTTCGCAAGGGTTCTTGTAGCTCGCTTAGGAGTAGCGGATGCGTATTTGACTGAAAACATCCACAGCGATTTGTGCGCGCACCGACCCTTTCGGTTGTCCCATAACCCGGAGCATGACCCAAACTCTTGCTGTCGTGATCTGGCATTTCGAGAAAGACCACCTGGTTAGCACATCAGCACATCTCATCACCTTATTTATTTATCTTATTTATTTATTTGTGCGTTCAATGACGGCGGGCATGTTGCAAGTATTTTGGATTACGCAGAAATTCTTATGCACAACTCAAAAAAGATAATAGAACAGTTTATAACTGCCATAAAGACCCGTGATTAGTTAACACATAAGATAAATTAGTTTATATACTCAAGTTATATACTTGAGAAAAGCCGAATTGTCTTTAAGAGCGATGTCGGGTGAAAAAAATTGTTGGGGACGATTTTGTTGTGAACTTTTAGGAAACCAATTTTGCAGACTATTTTGCCTAATGAAAGAAAATGTCCTCAAAGAAGCGAACCAATTACCCTCGTTCATTGGACCCGGTACTCATTAGCTTTCGTTACAGGTGTCATTCGATGGTGGACCTGAGGAAGAACTGAGTGCTACAACAAATTCCTTTTTCCGTCACAATCTACTTTCCACAAAGTACTACACTGTAAGTTTCATTTAATTCGATTTCATTATTTCCATATCTGAATAAGGCTAATGGTTTCATGATCTTCAATGTTTTAAGCGACTTTTTTTGTATTTTTATCAAGATGAAACATCTCCAAATAGCTTTATTTGACGACGGTTCGGGCCGGAAGCCGTTAATAAAATGTTGGATAAAAGGATAAGCATTTACCGTTGATCATCGAGTCTGATGCGCACGTCATATATTAGTATTATTATTATTTCTTCCGGTACATAACACAACCGAACACACCGCGAGCAAAACATGTTATATACAATTCCGATATGCAATGTCGAGCAATTAGACAATACTAGTATGAGGATACCAATTACAGGAGGCAATAGTTATAAGGGTAATGGGAGGACACCAAGGCGTCGAGGGTAGGACACTCGGTGGTGAAGAGCAGTGGCCCGCCAACACTGCAAGTCGCACCAGACATTGAGCGGCTCCGGATACCATCTTAGTAGGTCCGTCAACGCCACCGAGGCCCACCTTTTAGGAGAGGGAATAAGGGGTCACCTGAAAGGCGAATTCACTGAGAAACATAACATAACAAAACCAAGGAAGGTGCCATGATCAGAACAAACAATGATGAAAAAGCTAAACTCATGTCATAACACGCATTCTACTTCCATTTGTACATTCGCAGTGGCATTTGAATGCGATGTGGCCTATACAATGACTTGCGGGGGCCAGCCGATGTACAAGTCAGTGTTTTTATCCTCCCAGACAAGTCTGGTACCAATTAACCGACCCCGGAGGGATGGAAGGCTTGGTTGGCCCGGGCGACTCACGACCCACGGACCCAGGATTTGATCCCGTGGTAAGGCGCGCCGCTCTCGCCAGAGTGATGAGCGTGCCACTTGCCACTACACCACTTACGCCCTCTGAAGCCGTTCATAATGTCGATAAAAGCGTTAATACATTACGTACCAACATAAAAGAGTGAATCATAATATATATCATACATAATAAAAAATTATAAGGTGACAAACCAGTTACAAAAAGAGGAGAAAAGCGGAGTTGGGGGAGAGAGACTGACTGCGCTAACTTCACGGATCGCTGTAAGACCGCCGTCACACTCGGCGACGGACAAGCGATGGAGCGAAGGCGATCGCTCCGTCGCTTGCCAATCGCTCGGCCGAGAGCGATTTTCTCCATCCGGAAGCCCCAAGATCCTACCATGTGCTGTCCGTAATTTGACGAATCTACGAATTTTCTAGCAAAAAAGGAAGAGTGTTGCAGGACTTCCCTTCCACCCAGTACATGTACCACCCCCTCCCGCCCCCACAGAGCCTAAACTTGACGACAAAAACTAGAATCAATAGAATACGCTCAGAACCGATCCATATTGGCAAAAATACAGCCAACAGCCTTTTGTCCGCCTTCGCTCGCTACAAGGGCCAAATTGAAATTTTCTTTTTTTCCCAAAATTTCCTAACAGGCCACTACAATACTACAACATGGAGCAGCCATGCTTGACCCTCGTTCCTTTCACATTCAGCCCTTCCCTGCTGGTTTACTTCCTAATGGTAACTTGTCTGCATCTGAGCTCACCACGAGCCATCTTTAGCGCACTGCAACAAAGCCTCTGATGGAAAAGAAGCAGAGGCGCGCAACAAAAGGGTACCCTAGGTATGCATATAGGTGTTTGTCTGCATACATGTGTTTTGTTAGGTGATTTCTATCTTAGGGGTGAATAAGGGAAGAAAATATTGGGAAAAAAACTAAAACCGTTACCTTCCAATAGCGTAAACGCAAATTCCTGGGTCAAATTGGTGTGTTACATCCTTTTAAAGTGACAGTAGAGAAGTAAAGTGTAAAAGGAACGGGAGACTGGGAGAACCATTGACAATGCCTAATCTGTAATTCCCTCCTCGGTAGCAACGAAGCAAAATAGCATTTATAAGCGGGCGGGATCCATGCTGGTGAATGGAGCCAATGGTGCATCGTTGGGCCTTATGGTTAGCGCCTCAACATTTCTAAAAGGAATCCTTATTGGAAAATTCATGCATTCTTTCTCAACATGAACATGCCAGAAGCAAAATACGACATTTACGCAGGAAGATTTACTTTCCAAGGAGGAACTCACGAAAACCACGTTCTATGGACGGTCGACGGTAGGTCGGGCAGAGACAAAGGAGAGAAGAGCACCTTGGGCGGCACGTATCAGGCGACGCATTGAAAGAATCGGGTTAAAGCGTTCGATTTTGGAGAGTAGAGACAAATCGATCGATAGAATAGGATGCAGTAGAAGTGTGAGATGTTAGCGCAATAAGTCAGAAGGTCAAAAAGTTTCTAGTGACAATTAAGAATGAAAAAACCTTTATAAACGAAACACCCTGAGACAAGTGGAAGCTTTCCCGCCGCAGCATTTGTGACAGATGTCCGGCGGTAATTTGAACGCGTAGCAGCCTTCCGGTTTTTCGAATTTTTACCAAAACAAATGCAATTTTTCTGTTCTTTTCGTTCTTATCGTGAACGATGGGTCTCAAGCCAGTGATTTATGGTTGAGATAGAATCACGATTTTGCGGTGAGAATTCCTTTAAAGGCAAACTCCGGGATTAAACAGGTGCTATCAGCGCTTTGTGGTGATAGCTTAGCTGCGGAACGACCTGAAAGTGGAAAGGAAAGCAAGAGAAATCTTTGGGAACGCTGCAATTAAGGCCTTAAGTAGGGTCGAATGTGGTACGATGGCGAGAAAGGGCGGTCAAAGAAGACAAAATACGCGAGAGAGCACGTCGTTTGAGAGAGCACGCTGATCTCACTGATCTCTACATCAATGCACGCTGATCTCACCACCTCTCGCGGCGGGTAGGATGCGTTGGAAAGGGAGTCGATGGTTGCGGGCCCGTAAGGACTAGCGCCCTAACCGCGCAGTTTTTGCGACGAAGCTGGAGTGATCCAGTTACGTACGGACCTTACAATTTCCTCCGTGGAAATCCCTCCTAGTAATCGGGCTAATCCCGGGGTTTGCCTTTAAGTCGTGGCGTCAAGTAGGTGCGTGTTTTGCGCTTGCGTATCACTCCATCTCCATCAGTGGCTTCATTTCAACAAGAAATCACGCTCTACCTTCGAGTAGTCCAAGTGTAGAAGCTCTGAGATGTTCTGTCGCTTCAGCTGATTTTATAACAAAAAGTAGTAACAAGGCAGGTATTAAAATAATTTATTCACAAACTTCTTATCATTCCACAATAATTTCACCTTTTATTACTTACTCATAATAATTTATAACTAGTTCCATAAGCCTGCTACAGTATCTGTTTCAGGTAGAAATTGAAAACAAAAAATCCAAACGGCCATTTGAGCGCGCCGGTACAAATCAGAGTGCGACCACGGCGCTTCTTTCCTTCAATTTCCTCAGCCCAGCAAACTGAGTACGATCTGAGGGCAAAGGAAGAGCGGCTTCGTCTTGAGAAAGCCCTTGTCGAGGAAAGATTGAAGACGGGTGATGCAAAGATAGCAAAAGACCAGAAGAAACTGGACCAAATTCGTGAACAACTCGATGCACTCGTTGCATCGCACGATGAGGTGAAACTGATCTGGGGTAAGCTTTTAAATCATGTTATTCGCAAGGTCTCGAAAAGTCTCCTGCCTATAGGAAACACTAACGAAGCTTGTGCTATACAAAGGGATAGACGGACACTGTTCTTACTTTCAGCCTAATTATATCCTTGATTCTCAAGAAGCCCATGCCCATTCGCACACGCCGGCGTCTCATAATTTCCACAATCAACTCCAGATCTAGAAGCAGGACAATCGAGAGCCAGTAGATCAAGTATCACCTTTGAAGCAGAAGCAATCCCTTGTGGTCGTCACTTTCAGCCTGACTTAGGTCCCTGATTCTTTAAAATCTATCCAATCGACCGCTGAATTAACCTTCAGCTTGCTTCAGCAAGAGCCTTCAGATGAGAGACAGATCGTGAAGTCAAGAATCACCTTCTAAGCATAAGCAATCTCTTCTTTGCAGCCTCGATCACCCCCAGAAAATAAACCCTTGCCATCGCCCACCAGTTCACCCTTCTCGGCATTCAACGTCGTAACACATACACGGCGCGCAGAGATCTCGCTGACCTCGAATCTTGCACCCCCCCCCTTCCCTAGCAGACTCGACTAAATTCGCCCATGTACAATTCCATGAAGCTCCTCAGTAAATTTGAGTGCGCATCTAAATTTTCAGAGGGAAGTTCCCCGGTTTCGGTTCATCAATAAGTGCACTATTGAACTTCAAATGTGGATCTAGAATTATTTCAATGTCCTCCTCCACCGCACAGTAATATACAGAACGCGGCGTGGCAGTGTCTCCAGGAACCTCCTTTAAGACCAGCTGGCTTGGTAGCTCGTCGACGGACTCTGGCCGATTTCAGCCGATAGTGAGACGCCGGGCGCCTGACGTCCCGAACCCGATGAACTCGGCAAATTAATAGGCAAGAAGCGGGTCCATTTTATGTGAAGGCCTCAGACCATTTCCCTCAGATAAGTGTCAGAGTTCGCGATCGCAGTCGTGAGTGGGCGGGCGCGACTTCGGTGCAGGGCCGGGACGGTTGGGCGTCTTGTATTGATTCCTATGGTGCAAGACTCTCGCGGGACCGTCCCTATGCTATAGAGTGGCAAAAAATCATTTTCACTTCATTTGTCGACACAAACAATAATTGTATCGTACCACCTGCCTTTAAGCACCAAATATCACCACTGCAGGGTTTTGGAAGCAGATTAGACGAATTACCATATGCCGCACAATGTAACCTGGGGTCAGGAAATTTGAGCTCATGTTGAATCAACGGAGTTAAAGACAAGACTCATTCAGATAAAACGTTTGAAGACGATAGTGATGCGATGGCAGAATACGTTATCATTCTCATAGCCGGCGTAGTCATCGTGGCGCTGGCACCAATTTTCATCGGTGTAACATCTAGCAGTACATAATCCTCCCCCTTCAAAAAGCGAGAAAGTGTCGGGTGCAGACCAAACACCACAACTGACGACGGCCTCCAAGTAAATCTGGTTAGAAGTTGTTCATAGTGATAGCTGATTTCTGGTAAATGATAGTTGTAATTAGTGACAATCGATAGAATACAACTGCAACAGGCTAATCATTTCATTGGCAGAAAACATTAACATTTTGTGAAGGCCGTCGTCACTTGTGGTGCATGGTCTGCACCCGACACTTTTCTCGCTTTTTGAAGGGGACTATGGATGTTCTGACATCAACGATAATCGATTGCCTCAGGGCTAACCGTGTATGTTTCAGAACCAAAGTCCATCTGCGTACACGAGTCCGAACATTCCGAGTAGCGATAAGAAGACTCCGTCACCATCCAAGCAACCGAAGCGTTCCCATGGAGCGTTGAGGTGATCCTATAAGTGTCTTCGTGCTGTCATCACTTTGGAGCTTCTGCTTTCCTTTTCTCCTTTCACGAGTTCGCATGTAGGAAATTCGTTGGTGCTAACTTAGTTGGGGGGGGGGGCACGCGGCGGCGCGGCAGTCTGCTCACCTGGGCTCTCTCGAGCGAGACAGTGTAAACTCGAACATTCCAGCTTTTCACGCATGTCAAGTGACTGCCCCACCCCCACCCCCTAGACTGGCTACACTCCCCCTGGCCCACGGATTTCCGAACATGCCAGGCGAGCAGACTGCCGCGCCGCCGCGTGCCCCCCCCCCAACTAAGTTAGCACCGAAATATTTAACTAACAGCTGAGCTCAGTAAGGTTTTATTTAATCAAAGCCTTTGAAAGTTTGTTAATAAGTGATGGAAGACCGCGAGTGCTGAGAGGAACATTCTTCGATAGCACAAATAGAGCACTCAGGTAAGGAGCAGTAGATAAGTGACTTGCCACTGAAAGAGAGATGGAGAAGAAACCACTAAGAAGTTTTCTGGAGAAACAAAAACCAACTGAAGCACTTCTTCTATGGGTTGTTTCTGAGCGTGCAAAACAGGTACTTATGTGGCTAGGCAAGACAAGTGGCTCCGAGGGTTACGTGGCTACCTGAACTTCCTTCCATGTCCTCCACTGGGAATGAATAGAAACCATTAGGAAATAGCGCCTGGCTCGCTTCCAAATTTCAGAGAGGAAGGTGAGGGCTCAATGGTTAATGTGAGCCAATTATATTGTGACCAGAGTTTGGAGTAAGTGTAGCGATCGTAGTATTTATGAAGTCGTTTTCCGAAGAGAGAAGACGCCACGAGAGCTCCAAATTGAGGTCGTTCGAGAGGACCGAGTTTGAGTAGCTCATATACAGATCGGCTCGAAAATAGAGAACAAAGCAGAAAAGAGAGATACAGAAGCCTCAACGATGGGTGGGAATATGTGCTGTACTTGATACTTTCCCTAAGTTATTCGCGCATCTGCCGCTTGCGTTCATTTGTGAAGGTTTCACTACCACTGTGATTGGGTGACGGTGAGCAGGGTGAATATCGGTCGAGGAAAACCTCGACCATGGTTCTGTACTGTGCGAGAGTGAATAGATCCGCGGAGAGCACAGACGGCTCACGCATGCGAGAGTGAATGTTCGCGAAGGAGAGCGCGAATGAGCAGGCGTAAATGTTCGGCGAGTCGTCGACAAATTCTCGTTCGATTTTTACTCTGATGGTGGGTCTACCAGGGTCAAGCGTCCGTTGAAGAATCCTCGACGGGAGGAGGGGATCGTATCTCGAAATTTTCCTCGACTCCTCGCTCCACCCTGGACTCTACATACCTACATCTGCTACGGGGTTGTCAGGTGGGAATTTTTTATCCCTTATCATATTAGATTCGCCAAAGATGAGCTGACTTCCTAAGTGAGTAATACACTCACTTCCCTATGCTCTAAAACGACTGATCGATCAAATTCTTAACCAGAGCACAATTTTTCGCCTGTGAACTCCATTGTGGAAGTGTAAAAATATAGTAGCAATGAAGACGCCAAGATTTTATGACCTGGAAGTTCTGGAGAACCTCTGACATAATAACAAACTCGATGTATCGGATTGAATTTCTAAACACGAGACTTAAAGAGTCCATAAAATTGCTCCAAACTCCCTCTGAGTAACGCTTATTATACGCGACGTTTCGAAAGAACATCGCTTTCTGCACATTATACTTCAGACCGAATCATATTTTTTCAGGGCAAGCGGAGTTCGCAATCAGGGAGCAAGCCAAGCTTGATGGCCTAAATCTTTTCAACTATCGATTAAATCAGAAACAACAAAACGAACTCTTTCTTAAATAAAAATTTTATTCATGAAGCTGTACCAGCTGTAATTGCTATTCCATAACACTCGTCACGTCGGAAGGGAAGAGGTAAGCCAACCGTCAACAGACCTAAAGTCAGCACAAAGGCATGCCCCAGGATCGCACTGGTGTGGCTCTTGCACACGAATGTGAATGTATCGGTGCCAAGTGGGCCGGCAGTGAAGAAAAAAGGAAAAGAATCCGTCGAAAACGCTATCATTTTGTCTTGTGTGTAGGATTAGTATTATCGAAACTAACGCTTATGTTCCGTTCTTTTTGCTATGCTCATGAGGCTAGGGGCCTAAGGGGTATCGTTTTTCTGTGGTAATGGAGGCGGAGCTTTTTCCGCGGAAGATTCCTTTAAGGGCTCACTCACCTTCCTAATCGGCTGTGCTAAGGGAATGAGAGACTAAGCGCGGAGAGGAGAGTATGAGGCGAGAGAGCGCTACAGATGAGAGAGCGCCAGACAACAGCCTGATAAGAGAAAAAATGCAGCTTCAGCAGCTTACTTTGCAAGGCCCAAGCGCTCTTGTCGGTTGGTTTCCGTGCACGGGAACGCCACATTTGTGATTGTCCTCTAGGGGTCTATACTACAGACCGAAGGGAAGCGTTCACACGACCTCTGCCTGGGTTGTGCCTTTAAGTAGTGAGATATCATTGTAACCTCATGCCATGATTGGGATTACGCTCTCTACCATATAAAGCACTTTTTTGGGCAGACGCATGCCCTTCACAAGGTGTTGGTGTCACAGTGGAAGGCGTAAAGCTTACGCAGTTGAAGGGTGTCCCGGTAGTTCTCGGGAGACAAGTTAGGTTCAGCTGTGAACCGTAAAGCACCTGTAGATGCTCTTATCGTAATGTTCCAAAAAATTCCGCCGTGGCAGAAATGGGTAGGTGGATTTGAACAGTTTGGGTATGACTTTGCCACTGTACTTTTCTACAGAGTCTGTAAATTGAAAGTTGAAATCTTTGAAGTTTATGGATGCCCTCATTCATCACAACATTCCAACAAACATTTACAAACTTTTGTAGACGAAATTTTATTATCCAACGCAATCTGCAATTTTTCAACGTCGAGTTCCATCTTCGAAGAAAACGCCGCCGTCTGCCGAACAGTATTTTGGACAAATACCCCGTTCTCCTGGTCTTCCGTCTCCTCCAGGTGGACCAGGCTCTCCGTCCTCGCCGTCTTTTCCCGGACTTCCTGGTATGCCGTCCGGACCTTTTTCACCATCTGGACCATTCTCACCATCTTTGCCTGGTGGACCTGTCGGTCCCATGGGTCCCGGTGGTCCTGGTGGTCCAGCCTCACCTCTTGCACCAGGTTGCGGTTCGCCATTCGCGCCGGGCTCACCTGGCTCGCCCATCGCGCCTGGATTACCCATTTGGCCTGGAGGACCTTGCATTCCTTTCATTCCTTGTGGACCTTGCTCACCATCCGGACCTTTCTCACCAGGCGGTCCGACTGGTCCAGCATTTCCCATTGGTCCAGGTGCACCAGGTGGTCCGGGTGGTCCTGCTGGACACGGTTCGCATGGTGGTGGAGTAATTGGCTCACATGGCTCCTGTGGAGGTCGTCCAGGATTGCCGGGTGCTCCCGGAGCGCCGGCTTTTCCTGGCTTACCGGGTGAACCAGGCGGGCCAGGAGGTCCCGGCTGTCCGGCAATACAGCAACCGTTACAATAGTTCGGGTCATCGGCCCCAGCAGCCTGACGAGCCGTGCGGTTATGTGGGAGATCAGGAAGGCCGTTGACGTTCCTTAGAATATTGCTGGCCGTTGTGCGACATTCGAGCAGCTCGTGATGGACGCTGGCACGTACGTGATGAACGTAGTTGTAGACCATGGGAAGAGTAATGCAGACCGAGAGCACGGCAATCGCCGAAAACGTCATCGCGGCATAGCCGACGAAACGATAGGCCTGAAGCATGTGCAAAGTACTGCTGAAGTGCTGAACCAAGTCGGAAAGGGAAACTCACCGTGATCTTCGAGTCGTACTCCATGGCAGTCATGGGTAATGGCTTCGTTTTCTTCGTATTTATATCGATCTGTGATGAAGACCGGTTCGTTTTCGTTGGTCATCTTTTTTCTCGACAGCTTCACCTTGCGTAAGCCTTGCGTTTCACCTTGTACGTTTCTTCTTAGACCTTCATGTTGTTCAGAAAAACCAGTAGTTCCACCCGTTATCTCAAGAAGATTGTCATTGCTCCTCTATAGGAATAATGAACAGCCAAAACTCATGTTCCCTGCTCTCAAATCTATGCGATTCATGGCCATTCGCTACTTATTTTGTGCGGACAATATTTTGACCTCGCGAAAATCCCTCATAAGGATTGACTGGAACCACAGTTTACACAAAACTATGGAAGCTGTTCAGAAAAAACCAACCGTCACGCCAAAAATTGAACTTTTGCACTCGTTTTTGATGCATTTCGTCCTCACGATGTGTACTATTTCATTTAGTCGCTATATCAAGAAAAAGAAATGAATGGAGTGGAACGAGCCCAAGAAAAACAGTCAAAGATGGTTTTGAAACAAAAATGAAAAAGTAATAAATCATTTTAATCCGTCGAAAATCTAACGTCTGAAGGGGTGAAAAGCACAGGATTACCCGTGAGCGGAAAGTGATAAACGGCAAAATTGTCAAGAGCGGTGAAGTCCTTATAAGGAAGGTCTCTCAGGACATGGAGCGCTTTTTCGAAATGGTTTTCTGCATATTGTAGGGGCTCATGCGAGGAACACAGAACCATGATCCATTTTTCCTGAACGCCTCCAGGAATGC